AAACTTTTTATTTGGAGAAATGCTTCGTGTCCCTGACTTCACTCACACGTAAAAGAACACATCATCCGTGCCCTCTCATTCCCTTCCCTTGATTTGTGCCACATCAGAGCCGTTGCGAGGAAAGTCATGACGTAACTCGGGTGTATATCTATTTCATGTTCGCGTTGAAAAGTCAACATGATCATATATATATACTATGACCCTTTTTCTAATAGCTACACTTCAATTATTGTTATTATTTGTCGAGTTGTTGTTCAAATATTAATTGATTTACCGTCAAAATAATCTGCAAAATCTTTCGAGCAAATCTTCTCTTCGCGAATTCTTCAGCCGAAGCAGCAGCTCATCTGACTAAAATGATCATTAGTAAACAAACTAGTCACCTAATCAATTAAAATTAGCATAAGCTTTCCTTTGATCTGCTCTGTTTTAGTGTTTGTGGTTTTGATTCAACCCTGTGCTCGTTTAAACTAAAGCAACTGCTGAGATATTTCAGATTGGAAATCATAATACAGTGAAGCCAAGTAAGAGGAAAAATTATGAGAGATTGAGAAAAAAAAAGGGTGGGGAAGAAGCAACAGTCAAGACAGAGTTGCAGCATATAGTAGCAAAACTTTAATTGATTTCAGCTCCTAAAACAACATTACACCAGAAGAAACCAATGTAGAGGAATAACAGTGTCAAGTTTGGTCAACAAAATCGCACTGCTGCCAAAATTTCTGAAAGATTGACAAACTGACTATAATAAATGCATGCGCTCCACATAAGAATTAAGTAGCCACCTGCTGAGTGGTTCCCCATGTCCCACAAAGCAGCCAGAGTTGCCACTCTCAGTGAAGAATGGGAAATCGAAGAGATGTAGCAGCTCCTGGATAGCCTGCCGAACCAAGGATGAACCTGTTATCCTGCTCCGGCGGCCCCAACCGGTGACAATATCGATGCGCGTAGGACCGGTGCCTGAGGCAAGCATCTGCCTGTGGAACCACGCGAGCGTCCTGGATAATGCGGTCACCGCGGTGCCCTCGGACATGACATGAAGGTTGATGAGCCAGTAACACTTGCGCTTCTCCCTGACTGAATTTGGGTACACGTTCCTCTCTGCAGCTACCTCCCAAACCAGTCCAGCTTCCTCCTTAAGGCCTGATTTATGAAGGAAATCTATAACAGCATCCACAAGACCCCTCTTGCTCTCCCTGTCCTCACTGTGCATCAAGTCGAAGAAGCTACTAGCATGGGCCTTGACATTTCCTCCATTTGGTTCTGCATCTGGTAAAGATAGCAGGAAAGAATGAGCCGGGTGGCCTGAGAGGGCCATGAGCTTACAACAAAGCCCCATCTCCGAGGGTGACCCGGTGCAGCAGCTCAGAAGAAGAGTGTATGTCTGGAGAGAAGGAACCAATCCCAATCCTAGCATATGTTCGAGAACACCATGGGCATCAGCAAACCTGTGTACCTTGAGAAATGCACTCAAAAGAGAATTGCATGTGGGAACATTAGGTCGCAGGCCAGCGTTGAGCATTGCTTGATACCAAGCTCGAGCCTTCTCTACATTTCCAGCTTTACCCCACAAATCCACCAAAAGACCATATACAGGTTCATCAGGAACCCAATCCCTTGTCATTTCCATAAACACAGCTTCTGCTTCATTAAGATGCCCACCATGACCAAGTACCTCCATTACAATGCTGTAAGTAATCTTATCAGGACAAAAACCAGCAACTTGCATGTCCCTATAAAGCTTCACCACACAAGGATAATTCCTTGCTTTTGCCTGCAGAGCGATCATGATGTTGTAGGTGACCAGGTTAGGTACACAACCTTGTTCTATCATCTCGCAAAACAGCTTATATGCAGCAGCAAGATGTCCACCTTTCCCCAGGCAATTCACCATTACACTGTATGTGAAAGTGTCTGGAGAGAGACCTACATCTTGCATCCTCTGATACAAATCTAATGCAACTTCCAGGTACCCAGCTTTTGCATGGATGTCGATGAGAGTACAGTAGGTTACATGGTCTGGCTGGCGACCAACTTCCTGCATGTCCCGAAAAACTTTGACAGCTTCGTCTAAATAATTGGCACGACCATATGCATGGATCAGACGGTTATAAGTTACCACGGTCGGCTGGCAACCATCCTTAATCATCTCTTCTATCAGTCTTCTCATAGCTCCGAATTGCCTTGCTTGTCCAAGGATTCCAATCATGGTAGTGTAAGTGTGCTCATCATGCTTAAACCCAGGCTGTGATTTTAACCATCTGAAAAATTCAAGAGCAATGGAGTGGTCGCGGAGTAATTTAAGCACCTGATTTGCTTGAAATGGATCCAGTTTATATTGCAGTTTATCCAAGGCCTCTTCAGTTGTTGGTCCCCATTTTAACCGTTGCAAAGTGTGGTAATACTGCTCGATTGCATGCCCTGATTTCACCAATTTACCAGCAGATGGAGGACCTCCCGTGTGTAACCTTGCAGATTTAATTGGATTATGGAACCTATTAGTGGACCCAGCAGTTTCAGTAGTTGAACCTGTCATTTTCCTCTCAGAGATTCTTCCCCCAGGTTTTCCATCAGAGGTGAAGCTATTAGAATGATACTTCGCCTTCTGCCGAACAGACTGTCTTTGATTCTTAGCACCAGATGGTAATCCATTATTTGAAATAGAAGATTCAGTAACATTCTGCTTAGCTTTCACATTACCACGCATTGAAGGCTTTTCTACAGAGCTGCTAGGACAAGTGGAGCTTGAATCAGATACTCCCACAAGATTCAAGCTTGGCTGTCTCTTAGAATAATTAGGTTTGTTGTGTGACTTGTCATTAGAAGATATGGTGTTAAAAGATGGTTGGGTAGAATCAGCCATACACCTTTGAGGTCCTGGTTCTGTCCCTGGGGTCTTGTGGCTCACTAATTCAGAGAACATGCTAACAGTTGCCATACCTGCCTTCACGAAGCGTCCAGCAGTCAGCTTAGATGAATTGAGCATATCAGTCCCAGAAGCCCGAACACCAGCATTCATGTTGTCAGTGTTCCTGTTTGGAGGACTTGAGTCTGATCTCAGAGAGGATGAAGAGGAGACAACATGTTGGGCAGGACCTGTGCAACGAGACTTCTGATGAATAATGGATCCCACTGCATTTTGTAAGCAAGGAGATCCAGCCTTTGTCGGGGCACCATTTGCCGTGTTGGCTTTGAGGGTGCTATTAGGATGCCTTGTGGGAACACAAGTTTCATCCTCTGAGCAAGTGCATGAAGCACCTTCTGCATTTCCACATCTTGAACCACTAATATAAAATGTCCTTGCACAGTGGGAGAGGGTGCCAATTTGCTTTGCTCTCAACATTATCTGCAATTAGGTAATGATTAACTATGAGATAGAAGGGCCTCAAGACAGAATGGAAAAGGAGTTATGCCATTAATATAATTGATGCCACATCAGCAAATTATACACTTGTTCCTTATTCAATTTAGTCCAAAATGGATTACCAACAAAAGCCATACTTACAGGCTCTACAATTAATGCTCTTAAATAATAGAGCACATTATCTGGCGACTATCTTCAGGCTTGAAATTCTTCGATCTAACCTGCAAAAACACAATAGTTCAATTATACCTTGGTTATCAAACAGATATACAAACACATACTTCATCATCTGCTTGTGTGAGTGTGCATAATGATAAAAATACCTACTCTATCACTAATTTGAGTCAAAATCTTGATGCAATGGCCAGTTAGAACGGACAATCAAAAGACACTGCAGGTCATTATATGCATAAATCAGCTCCTTTATTATGGTAACATATGGATCAAAAGAACACCAAAAAAGTCTGGTGGCTATACATGTGTATTATGGACAAGATGTCAAGATCAAAAAAAGAAATATATACTGCATCACAATAATTACTTCCAAGGAACGTGATGACTCGGAAATCTTTGGTTAATTACAAGTGCAGTAGTCATAGTAGAGTTCAACTGGAAGTGAACCAGTTCCATTGTTTGGCTCCAGTGAAGTTAATATGCTTTTGAAAGTTCCAAAGAACATCCAATTCTCACAACTTGGTTTCAATCCAAGGCCTAACGTCACGTTTGGACAACTCAAGAAAGTGTACACATACATGCATATACATATACATAAATGTGAGGGTGCAAATAGCTTCAGTTCAGGATGAAATGTGGAATGATGTTATGCCTACCAAAGAATCAGAGCAAGATCAATTATGTAAAACAGTTCATATTTCACCTATGGACTCTCAGTATATCATGCAATGAGACCTAGGGGTTTGATAACACTTGTAACTTAAGTTTAGCCGAAACATGGTTTTGCATTTCTTCCTTCCCACAATTAAAAACACTATCAGATGAACAGTTATCAGTTAACAACTATAAAATACCTACCGATCCTTTCGTGTAAGCAAAACCAAGAAGAATCACCCATCCTCACTTCCATACATTCGTTAGTTGTCGAAAGCATGGTATAAGGATCAAACTTTAATTTTGCATATTCTAGATGGCATATTATGATCAACATTTAAATAATTGATTATGACAAGATAATCATAATGCAGAAATCGAACTTGTTTCAGAAGGGAAGGTGATCATATTTAACAAAGCCCCTCCTGATTCCCTAGAAATGCCTAATTAATCTTCATATTATTACTTTGGCATGTTGTTGAATTATCTGCATGTGTACCCAAGGATAAAAAACCAAATTATCAATGCATCAAGAGAAAAAAAAGAATAGTGCTTTAATTGCTAAAATATCACAACTTATTTATTCTTTTGAAACAAGCACTCTTTACTATTTTAATTCTTGGAACAATAGTCACTTTCCACAGGACGTTGTAAAAAAAAGAGGCAGTTGAAAAATCCATCCTTGTATGGATAACCCAAACTTTGAGGTTGAACCATATACCTAGTAATCTTAGAGAAGTTCCAACTATTACTTACATTATAATCACATGTCTTCGTTCTTTCCAATAGGTTCTTTAATGAAACACCCACCTTCACGTATATATTTGTGCTGTTCCTACTCCCTAGATATATGCCTTCTTCAAGCACCAAAAAGAAAGTCCATAGTCTTGATGCTCATCATAAATTATGGGCTTACTTTGTACTAATGACGTATCTTACCCAATGCAATAGCACTAAGGAAGGAGAGTTCACATGTCCCATAAAAAGGGTGTACCCAATGAGGCTCCCACTAATGTGGGAATAGGATAGGGTCAATATATGCAATCTTATCTTTAAATATTTAAAGATGTTATTTTCGTGACTCAAACCTTGTCACCCAGTTCACAAAAGGGAACCTTACATATTCCATATGTTTATAAATTGAATAGCATTCAATTTCCAAACAGAAGAACAACAACAATAACTTGCAAGCTTCCTTTTTTTCAAAAAAGTGTATGTGGCGAAGACAGATTTTGAACTCAGGACCTTGCGATAATTGTTAAAATCTTTACCAACTAGACTAGCAGGCATCTTCGAAAAAAAAATATGTCGGATGAGATTTTGAACCCTTAACATTTGGTAAAAGGAACTGGTACACCACGACCAAACCAATGTTTAAGGAGTATAAATATATTAAATGAGTTTTTGAACCCTCAACCTTTGGTTAGCAGGTTTGGCACACCACCACCAGACCAATGTTTAAGGTGTCAAGTTTTCGCATTGCTTGAACCAATTGTGGTTCCAAAAGTCTTTAAACTGCTCAAAGAACCGAATGAAGAGTTCATTGTATGCAAAGTGCACCTTAGGTTTGCATTGCTATCTCCAACACAAGGTTTACAAGAAAAACATTAGTATGCAGCATTTCATGGGGGCTCAAAGGACCAACTAGAGACCTTTTTTTCCAAGTAATACTTTAACTTAATCTCTATTCCCTTTATCTATTAATACTATTCCGACCTTGGTAAAATCATCAAATCAAAATTTAAACTTTCAATGTGCATCAAGAGATGAGGTAGTTGATTTTGCTGCAAGCCAGTTATATCCATAAGCCTTGGTCTTAGCACGCACGGAAACAACAAGAGATCTTATCGCCACTGTATACAGAACTGAGACATAACTGTAACCAGAAAGGGAAGGCATAAGGATCAGCCCCTTCACAAGAAAAAGAATGAATTTTGCAGGAGAATGACGAGTTAAAATCTTTCAGAACGAGAACCATAACTAGAGAGACCGATGTGATAACTTCCTACCATAAAAACAGCATACATCGAAACAAGACAATTTTCAGGAAAGCAGGATTCCACAGAGACGAACTTTTCGATCGTAGTAACGCAGCCTCTGGGCTTCCAACCACAATCCACCGCTCGTCATGAAGGAACCAGCATCTCAAAAGGCTTACAAGAGCCAGATACCGAATCCAGTGACAACGTACCAAAGCATAATCCACAGCTCCATCCTAATCAACTCAAAGGAAAGAACAGTCTCAAGATCTTACCCCATCGACGCTTCACATCCAGAGAGAAAGGAACAGCGCAGCGGCGGCCGTTCCTTCCTCTCCAAGGAATAGGGGCCTTTCCTTCTTGTCCGACGATTTGGGGGCGAGAGACAGATGAAACCCTACCTTCCAAAAGATTTCAACGCGGCGTTTTATAGGACTCCCATCTCTCTCTGCTCTTTCCTTCCCCCCTGCCGTGCGATGCCGCTCGAGGAAATTGCTCACCACACGACTTATCGCACGACTTAACAAACGACTCGAGGATGTGGGACACATCCAGAGCCGCACTGCCCCCTCCATCCCAAGTCGTAACGTAAATCGGTGAGTAGTCGAAGCAGCTCCTTCTTCTATTGTTTTCCCCCGTGGATTTGACTTGCTTTTCTTAGTCGCGACGACTTAAATCTACTGATTTATGCCACGGCTATCTTTCATTGCGAGCAAACAGCGGGTCCCATGTCACTATGCGAACTGCTTAGACACGGGTTTATCGACTGAAAGATCCGCCCGAGTAAGCGCACAATCGAATCCCGCCACTCCTACCTTGTTCCCCAAGACATGTAAATAACGCGCGAGACAATTATTTAATTGATACTTTTTCTACGTATTTTTCGCTTTACCAGCTCCCGGTCCCACGTCGTGATCACCGTATCATCCAATGACAAAGCAGATAGACGAGAGAGTACGTTCGATCGAGAAGAAAACTTATTATTTTTTAGATTTAACCATGTGTTGCGTTCGATTTCGTTCGTTGGGCACCGAACGCGACTGCGGATCCTCTCCAATTATGAGTTCAACAGGAATTGCTCGGTTCCCGAATCAGAGCCCTTCATTCAGGTGGCACCCTCATCTAGGGGGACCGATCTTGAGCCATTGGATGCTACTGTAAGATCCGGTGAATCACCCGATGCCATGTGACGTGATTTGTTTTGCTGCCCTGGAGCTTGTGGTCATAATGGCAGCGAGATTTGAGGTGTAAATGGTGACACATCAAACACCAAACGCGTGTCGCGTTCGACAAAGATATGCGGCTGGTGGAGTCACGTGCATAAAAAATGAATCACGTGCACGGAGAGCGTTCATGTGAAATCTGTAATGTTTCTTACGCAAGTGCCCACGTAATAGATCTCAAGCGGGCCCCCGGAAGCTACCAGTCATCACATGAGTAGCGACAGGGAATCACACACGTGGGTAGAAAAGATCGTGCGTTTCTTCCCTATTATTAATATGATATATTAATACAAATAATGATTGTCTCACGCGCTACAGGGTCAACAATGAAGCATGTCACCTTTTATGATGAGCTTCTATACCATCAAAATTAAATGAGGAGTCGATCCGTGAGAACGATTATATGAAATATAAGAACACACAACATTTCATAATAAAGACAATAACAAGTAACAAGGACGATACTTAGCAGTGATATATCATCATCATGTCCATATTTCCTTTTAGATGTCCTTATTCTGGTTGCATGCATAAAATAGCTTGTGCTGAGGAGAACGAGTGCTCAGCAGAAAGAAATATATCTATTAGCCAAATTGTTCCCGCTTGTACGTGTTATCAATTGCTCATAACCTAGCATATTTCTTCAAGTTTTCCACTGAATCTTGTGCATCATCTGGTACGGGCATATTTGACAGCAGTGTAACCCTCGATGAGGACATCAAGACCGCCTTCTCTAGGGTGGACTGATCCATCTTCCATAGACGCACCTCCCACACCTGAAATAAACCATCTAACGTTTATGATTCCTTGTTAGCTGTATCATACGTGGAAGATGATAGCATGTCCCACTCGTGTTCACCAGTGATGGAGGACCACGTCATTATACCTTTCATAGCGTTAATTGTTTTCCCCTAACGTTACTAGGCTCGTCTACTGCCTACCTGCTTTGTGATTGGAGAGAAGGCGGTTCCACCGATGCCGTGGCGTATTAGTGGTGGTTTCAGCAGGTCCGGGCACCTCCGTTACTGATCGACACGGGACCACTACGTCGGAGCTTTTATCTACCGCTCAAGATGTTGCCACGTTCACTTCCTTCCCAGATAGCGAACAATACTACCCCTTCCCGCCCTGCCAACGCACGCCCCCCACCGACCCACGTGACGATGACTGGAGACGGAGGCAACGCCTGCAGATCTCGGCCGAGACAGTGGTGGCGGGTTCCACAACATCGCCTTCGGGTCTTCTCTTGGGTGGTAGATTGACCATAAGAACCGGCACGAGAGAGAGAGAGAGAGAGAGAGAGGGAGGGAGTTATGCACGGACCTGTATGGTTT